TAGGGTGCATGCACTCACCAGAAAGACAGAGAGAGACAGAGAGACAGAAAGCGAGAAATCACCCCCCAGGGGGGATGGTCACCCCACAATCCTTTCTCCTCCATTCTCCTCTCGGGATCTTGGGCACGCACGCACATGCACTCGGTGTGAGTTTAAGCCACTGGGTCTGGGACTCGAACCACAGTCGGCTACATGGGAGTCCAATGACGTAGCTATTATGCTAACTGCTGGTCCCCCCGGTGTGAATTTTGAGCTACCAGGTCTGAGACTTGAACCTTGGTCAGTCACATGGGAGTCCAGTGCCTTAACCACTATACCACCTGCTATCCCCCACCCCACCCCTCCCTCCTGGCAAATTTAAAAAAAAAAGAAAAAGAAGAAATATTTACCTCACTTGGGGCCAGCAAGTGGCATAGTGGCTAAGACTCTGGACTCCCACGTGGCCAACGACAGTTCCAATTTCAGACCCAGGGGCTAGAAAATTATTCCTGGCACGTATGTGTGTGCGTGTGCCCAAAATCCTGAGAGGAGACTGGAAGAGAAGGAATTGCAGCACGACCAGCCCCTGGGGCTGATTTCCTACTTTCTGTCTCTCCAGCAAGTATGCATACTGTGTGGCAAAAATCTAAAAAAGAAAGAAATACTTAACTCATTTGGGGCAGGAGTTGGGGTGGTCGTCGAGGTGTCGGACTCCCACATAGCTGACTGCAGTTCAAATCCTGTACGTGGTGGCTTGAGAATCACACCAAATGTAACGCGTGCACCCAAAATCCCGAAAGAAGAATGGAGGAGAAGGTATCGCGTCCCAACTATCCCCCGCGGTAATTTTCACTCCTCTCACTGTCTGTCTCTCTTGTTTCTCTTTGGCGACTGCACATGCCCTGTGTCAAAAATCTAAAGAAAAAAAAGGGGGGGGCAGCAGGTGGTGTGGTGGTTAAGGCTCTGGACTCACACATGGCCAATTGCGGTTCAAGTCTCAGACCTCACAGCTTGCTTTCTCACTTTCTTTCTCTGTCTCTCTCTGGTGGGTATGTTTGCCCTGTAGCAACTTAAATAATAATGATAAATAGGGACCAGCAGGTGGCAGAGTGGTTAAGATGCTGGACTCCCACACAGCCAACAACAGTTCAAATCCTGGACCTGGCAGCTTGCTTTCTCACTTTTTCTCTCTCTCTCTGGTGCATGCAAATTTTAAAAAATAATAAAATTAAATAATTTAAAATAGAAAATGATAAATAAAATATTTTTAAAAAGAAAAGAAAAAATATTTAACTCACTCAATGAAAAGATGAATTTTACATTGAAATGTCTTTAGTGAAAAACATTCTGGGACATTGAAAAACTGATTTAATAAAGGGATAGAGATGTCTCCACAAAGAAATGTATTGAATCAGTACCTGAAATAGTGAGAATTACAAACAGAATAAAGCACCTGACAAAGGAAATGCATGGGCAAAATTCATGCTTATTATGGAATATTATACAGCTATGAAAAAGAATGGGATGGAATTGCACGATCTGATTTTTTAAAAAGAATTATTTATTTAATTTTATTGACTCATTTATTTATTTTAATTTTGGCCAGAGAGAAAGTGAGAAAGCAAGCCACCAGATCTGGGACTCAAACTGTGGTTGGCCATGTGTGAGTGTCCAGTGCCTTAACCATTACATCACCTGCTGGTCTCCAACAGTCTGATTTTTTTTTTTTTTTTTGAAAGGTTTTTGTTATAGGGCATGCACGCTCACCAGGAAGACAGAGAGAGACAGAGAGACAAAAAGCGAGAAATCACTCCCCCAGGGAGGATGACCAAACCGCAATCCCTTCTCCTCCATTCTCCTCTCAAGATGTTAGGCATGCACATACATGCACCCTGAGTGAGTTTAAGCCACCGGGTCTGGGACTCGAACCACAGTTGACTACAAGGGAGTACAGCGACATAGCCATTATGCCAACTGTAGGTCCCCCTTAGGAACTTTAAGTAGAGATACCATGTGTGTATTCTCAGCACTACACAAAGTAGAAACTCATTATTACCTGAATGAATGAATGTACAAGTAATTTAAGGCATCCTGTGCTGTGC